CACTGCTTTCCACAGAGGTTGCACGAGTTTACACTCCCACCAACAGTGTAGAAGTGTTCCCTTTTCACCACACCCTCTCCAGCAGCAGTTATTTTTTGAGTTGTTGATAATTGCCATTCTGACTGGAGTTAGGTGGTATCTCAGTGTGGTTTTGATTTGTATCTCTCTGATGATTAGTGAGGTTGAACATTTCTTCATGTGTCTGTTGGCTGCTCGGATGTCTTCCTTTGTGAAGTGTCTGTTCATATCTTTTGCCCATTTTATAATGGGTTGTTTGTTTTTTTCTTTTCAGCACGCTTGAGTTCCTTGTAGATCCAAGATGTTAAGCCTTTGTCAGACCTGTTGTTGGCAAATATTTTTTCCCAGTCTGTAGGCTGTCTCCCTGTTCTCTTGATGGTTTCTTTGGCTTTACAGAAGCTTGTCAGTCTAATAAGGTCCCACTTGTCTATCTTCTCTCTTATGAGCTGTGGATTTCGGGTTTTGTTCAGGAATTGGATGCCAGTTCCAATTTCCATGAGGGTATTTCCTTCATTTTCTAAGGTTCTTATGGTTTGAAGTTTTACATTTAGGTCTCTGATCCATTCAGAGTTAACCTTTGTGCATGAGGATAGATAGGGGTCCTGTTTCAATCTTCTGCATGTGGTCAGCCAGTTTTCCCAGCACCATTTACTGAATAGGTTCTCCTCTCCCCAGTGGTAGGGAGTGGAGGGTTTGTCGAAGATGAGTTGGTTGAGAAATTGAGGTTTTGCTTCTGGAATCTCAATTCTATTCCATTGATCTATATGCCTGTTCCTATACCAATACCAAGCTGTTTTGATGATTGTAGCTTTACAGTAAAGTTTGAAGTCTGGTAATGTGATACTACCTGCTTTGTTTTTTTTGCTGAGGATTGTTCTGGCTATTCTTGGACGTTTGTGTTTCCATATGAATTCCTGTGTTGTCTTTTCTAGGTCTGAGAAGACTGTTGCTGGTAATTTGATGGGTATTGCATTGAATTTGTAGATTGCCTTAGGTAAGATGGACATCTTCACAATGTTGATTCTTCAGATCCATGAGCATGGGATATTTTTACACTTGTTTGTGTCATCTTTGACTTCTTTGAGCAGTGTTTTGTAGTTTTCCTTGTAAAGGTCTTTCACGTCTCTGGTTAGGAAGATGCCAAGGTATTTCATTTTTTTTGTGGCTATTGTGAATGGAATTGTGTTTTTTATTTGGGTTTCTGTTTATTATTGGTGTAGAGAAATGCGATTGTCTTTTGTACATTTATTTTGTATCCTGAGACTTTGCCAAAGGCCTTTATCAGTGTAAGGAGGTTTTTGACAGATTCTCTTGGGTTTTCAAGGTACACAATCATTTCATCTGCAAAGAGAGATAACTTGACTTCCTCTTTTCCTATTTGGATACCCCTGATTGCCTTCTCTTCTCTGATTGCTCAAGCCAGAACTTCCAATACTATGTTGAACAGGAGGGGTGAGAGTGGGCATCCTTGTCTTGTTCCAGTTGTCAGGGGAAATGGTTCTAGTTTTTGTCCATTTAGAAGTATGCTGGCTGTGGGTTTCTCATAGATGGCTTTTACTATTTTGAGGTATGTTCCCCGTATGCCTAGATGTTCAAGGGTTTTTATCAAGAAGCGGTGCTGGATTTTATCAAAAGCTTTTTCTGCATCTAATGATATAATCATGTGGTTTTTGTTTTGACATCTGTTGATGTATTTAATTACATTTATGGTTTTTTGAATGTTGAACCAGCCTTGTATCCCAGGAATGAAGCCTACTTGGTCATGATGGATGATTTTTGAGATGTATTGCTGAATTCGGTTTGCTAGGATTTTGTTGAGAATTTTAGCGTCTATGTTCATCAAAGATATTGGCCTGTAGTTCTCTTTCTTTGTTGGATCTTTACCTGGCTTTGGTATCAATGTGATATTGGCTTCGTAAAATGATTTGGGGAGCATTCCATCTTTTTCAATAGCCTGGAATACCTTCAGTAGGATTGGTATCAGCTCTTCCTTAAATGTCTTGGAGAATTCTGCTGGAAAGCCATCTGGGCCAGGGCTTTTTTTTGTAGGAAGTTTTCTTATTATGTAGTCA